TCTTGTCATCTACTTATTAATAGTTGATGTGAGATAATTGGTATAAGTACTAAATTATTAATAAAAGGTGCCACATTTTTTTTCAAATTAATGATATTTGAGAGTCTGGCTTATCAAAAAGTTTGAACTTTTAGTAATTGATATTAAACGTTCCTATAGAAATCAGTCCTATAAAGTGTATAAATATAGATTATTGCAAATTGTTCTTACCTATGGTGGAGATCATGTGGTGATCAAAGCCATCATTCATTAATGACTTGAGAAGTGACGTCTTTCCAACCCCCGAGTCACCTAAAAGCAGGATCTTGTAGCGCGCATCATAGCGCTGTTCACCAACACCTCCACGGCCGGACACCAGATCAACTTTCTGAGAAATTGATCGGGTCTTCCTTTGAGCCTCCCCGGTGTTTCTCATTTGATTCTGCATCACAGCAGCCGATTTCGGTCTCATGAACTCGGTTAGCCCGTTTCGTTCTTGCGACTTCGCAAACCTGTCGTTTGCTGACAGTTGTGTTGGCGAAGAGGAGTAGCGAAACATTGAATCAGTTGTATTGAATCTGGGATCATACCGACCTTCTGAGTGTCGAATTAGGCTGTCAGACTTCATTTGGTACATAAACTGCACCACTCAGAGCATAGAGCCAAAAATAAGTAGTTGTAAGTGGATGCTGTTGTGTGTGGAAGGGATCTTTTCTGTTTGCTTTGCTTTGGGGAATCCACCAATCATGCAGGAAATAGAGGATTGCTGCCGGAAGTTTCGACAAATGCCGATTATCGAACAAAATAATCAGGAATAACCTGGAATTTCTGCATTATCACCTTAAGAAACAAAAAGAGAAAATAATGGCATACTAGGAAATCTTACTTTTTTTAATTAATGCTTTTATAAATTCTCCAAATTTTATTTCAATTATTTTATTTCCAGATGCACAATTGAAACGATATTGGATCCATTCTGTACTACTACAAAAAGGCCTAAAGTAGTAGCAAAGTATCTGCACTTAACTGTTGAGTTATCAATCTAATTCGGATTACAGAATGAAAGTTAAAGGCTTCTTGGATAAATAATTGGCTACATGATTCAGGAAATACTCCAAATAATAGACTAATAATAAAAAAAAATAAAAAAAGTTATAGTCGCAGTATTAGTAATAGTAATATGAATGGTACCAGAGTAGTAGTAATTTTCCGACAGAAATGCTCTGTTATGGTAAATTCTTATGATACTTTCTAAATACCAACTGGGCTGCAGGCCAGGTTAAACAAACAATACATGAACTTAATCCATCGCTTATCTGAAGAGTATCTATTCTCCTCCATATTATTTAATTGGGCACTTTGATCATGACTAACGCGTCATTACACACGGAAAACTTTACTCAGTTAATTGTAAACTGAGGTGAACTATTTATGCGAGGTGCCAGATATCCATAAAATGGTTGGTTGGTAAAACGTTTAAGTAAGAATGGCAGAATTAATCCATGGTCTTGCAGACACAACTGCAATCCTCATCATGGAGTCCTAGAAATGCAACTACTTTCGGTTGGTAAAGCAAAGTTAAATCAGCATCAATGGATGCATAACGACAATAATGATCGGCACAGAATAAAATAAGTTGAAAAAAATACGTTTATGAACACACTCTAATCACAGCACTTTAGAGCCTAAGGGACGAATGAGTGACATCAGGCCGAAATTAAGGTATACATAGAGAGTATTAAAAATTAAGTAGTGAACATAAAAAAAACATGTTGAAGCACAATTTATTGCTCCCTATGAAACATAGTTTTGGCCTACCTAATGACGTATTCTTGAGTATGCTATAGTAAGGAGAAGATACTCGACTTTGGTATCAAATGGGCGGTTTGAAATGGAGTTTATAGATGTAGATGCAGCGCTTGAAGATAGGGCAAAGGGGAGAAGAAAGAAGCTTCAACGGTTGAAAATGAAAATGGTAAAGTGAAATGTCTTCATTTTCAAAGATGTAAATCTGTGCTAACGATAGCACCTCTCACTAACGATGCCGGCGATGCTTCTGGAAACGTATCAAGTTAAACGTCAGATGCTGAAAATTATCATGACTACTATGACAGAAGTCACAGGACTAGATGCATTCCTTAAGATACCGCTGTCGCTCCGAGCAAGTTGCGAAGACGAGATCGAAACAACGTTTTACAATTAAGGGAGTCTGCAACTATCTTGTCTGTAGTGTCTGAGAGTTGACTGGGCCTTCCAGATTTGGACTGTCAAGAGGTTTCAGGACGGAGGCGGTGCAAAATCTTTCCAACTGTGTATGCAGGTTGTGCATGCTATGACGAGATAATGAACCCAAAATCTATCCAGCGAATGAAGGTTTAGACTGAACAATTGACGAACAACTTTTTTGTGAGAGATAAATTCAAGGGGAAAAGCTTGATTTGTGTGCT